AAAAAAAACTTTCTGATTTTAGTTTATTACTGAACATAGTGGAAGTAAGTTTTAGACACGTGTAAGACTGAAAAACCTCTATGAAGCCATTTAATAAATTCAATGATAACTTACCAGAAAATATCCTCTATATTTGATCTTTGCTGTTTGTTTTCTCCTCTCCATTGGAAAAAAATGCAACATACAAAACTTACCTCGTGGGTAAACAGAGGATTCCATCAAGAATGATCATATATATAAGTTGCTTTAAAGCTTCCTCTAAATTCCTGGGTGATTTAATCTGTTGCAAGGCAGTGAGTCTGGATTGTATGAATTCATTAGATTTCCAACTTTGTTGGAAATCTCCACACTCCATGGAAGCAGCTTTTAGGGACACTAATGACGTTCACATTGCTAAATCCAAAGGTCAATTTTAAGTCCTCATTTTATGTCACTTGCTGGCAGCATCTAGCGCTTCCTGTCAGGATTCTCTTCCTTCCCTCACGGGCATCTCCATCTGAGTACCTTTTGCTGGCTCCTCCTCATCTTTCTAACTGTCACATTTTGGGGTCTCCCAAGCTCCAGTTCTTGGAGCTATTTTTTTTCTCTATGTTACTTCCTTATTTCACGGCTTTAAATACCACCCATGCACTGACAAACCACTGAACTCGACTCCTGCATCCAACCGTTCATTTGCTACTTCACTGGGGAGTCCAACAGGCAGGCTTCACACATCCCAAACCGTGCTCCTAAATACCCTGGCCCAGGCCTGCCCTACCTCGTGATTCCTGATCTAAGTCAATGGTGGCTCCGTTCAGGACAAAAACCTGAGAGGCGCCCTTGGTTGTTCTCTTTCTCACACCCCTCGTGCCGTCTATACACAGAGCCCGCCAGCTCTACCATCAAATCACAGCTAGGGCCAGACGCTTCTCAGCGCCCCCTTCTTGCTCCTGCAACAGCCTCCTACGTGGTTTCCCTGCTGCCGCCTTTCCCTTCTGACACTCCGCACTGCAGCCAGAGCAACCCTTTAAAACACAAGTCAGATCACGTCATTGCTCTGCTCAAAGTTCCTGATGTCTTCCCACGATGACTCAAAGCAACATCCAAAGCCTCACCACGGCCTACAAGGCCCTGTGTGATTTGTGCATCTGCACCCCCCGCAACATCCCTGTGATTTCTCTCATGTTTCCTCTTTCCAACGTCCCTCTACTCCATTCCTCCATCCACACTGGCGTCCCGTTACTTCTCGAACATGTTAAGCGTGTTTCCACCTCACAGGCTTTGTACGCGCTGTTCCCTCTGCCCGGAGTGCACTGTCCCCGATATCTGTAACGCTCCCTCTCATGTCCTACATGCCTCTTTTCAATATGACAACGATCAGAGTCCTTTCCTGGCAAATCCATGTAAGTTGGCACCTTCTCTCCAGAACTTCCCACTGGCCTTTCCCTGCTCTATTTTGTCCCCGTGCCCTTTCCCCCGATTCTCCCTGCCACCTCTCGTATATTCTCATATACTTATTTATTTATTTTTGAGACAGGGTCTCACTCTATCACCCCTGCTAGAGTGCAGTGGTGCGATCACAGCTCACCGCAGCCTCAAACTCCTGGGCTCAAGCGATCCTCCTGCCTCAGCCTCCTAAGTAGCTGGGACCACAAATGTGTGCCACTATGTCCAACTAATTTTTCTATTTTTTGTAGAGATGGGGTTTCCCTGTGTTGCTCGGGCTGGTCTCAAACTCCTGACCTCAAGCGATCCTCCCATCTCGGCCTCCCCAAGTGCTAGGATTACAGGAGCGAGCCACTGCACCCAGCCTCATAGAGTTTATTGTCTGTCTTCTCCCATTAGATTGTAAAAGAACCTAATGACAATCTAGATTAGATTGTAATGGCAAGACAGAGTACCTGTATTGTTCACCACTGTGTCTCCAGCACCTATTACCGTGCCTGGCACGTAATAGGCCCTCCATAAATATTTGTTGAATGACTAGATAAATGAAACTCCTTGTCCTAGCATTCAAGGCTTTCCACAATATTAACCAGTCTGTCTTTTCAGTGTTATTGGCCACAAAATCTTGTTACATTTTAGCTTAACTGGACTTGTTTCTGTTTCTTACACTTCACATCCCTTGTGCTTTCTTCATTTGTCCTTTGGTTTTCGTTGTGTCCTCCTCAGCCTCACCTGTCTGATGAAACCTTATTCACTTTTCACA